AGAGAGGGAACACAAGTAGGGGGAGTGGGAGGGGGAGAAGCAGGCTTCCCGCCGAGCAGGGAGCCCGATGTGGGGCTCGATCCCAGGACCCTGGGACCATGACCCAAGCCGAAGGCAGACGCTCAACTGACTGAGCCACCCAGGCGCCCACTCTATTTCTTTTTCTTACAGAAAAGGTAGCACATATATTCTTTTCTACTTTGCTTTTTATTCACTAAACAATCCATCTGGAAATTATTTTATTTATCTGTTTATTTTTAAAAGATTTCATTCTCAAGTAATCTCTATACCGAGCATGGGGCTCGAACTCATGACCCCAAGATCAGGAGTCACGTGCTCTTCCGACTGAGCTGGCCTGGCGCCCCTGGAAATCATTTTATATCAGTTCGTAGAGATCCCCCTCTCCCCAGGTGGGCATTCGATAGTCCTAGTCCACGAATTGCCTTCATACAGGGATTCAGCATATTTCCAATATTTTGTAATTACCACCAATGCTATAATTAGTAATCTGCCTATGTATGTTTTATTGGTGAAGGTGTATATTGTGGGTAGATCCCTAGAAGTAGGATTGGTGGGTCAAAAAGTAAATGCATACGTAGTTTTGTTAGACACGACCACATTTTCCTCCATGAATACTTAATCCTTTCGCATTCCCACCAGCCACCTGTATAAGCACTTGCTTCCCCATGGCCTCCCAAACAGAGGGCTGTCAAGCTTTGCTATTTCTGCCAATCAGACAGGAAGAGATGAATGCTGGAATGTAGGTTTTATGATTATTGAGGTGAGGCCCAGAGATGAGGAGACAGAGTTACTGAGAGCTCCCAAGAGGAAGGCGAGTAGCAAGGCGTGCCGCACGGGACTGCACGGAGAAGCACCAGGGTCAGGAGGCAGAGACGGAGCCTTTATTTCATTGCAAGCCTGGCTAAGCAGGTGAAGGACTGCACATTTCCCTGGGCTCCGGGGTGGAGGGAGGGGTGGCCTAATTGTCTGCTCCCCAGCCTGGGGTTGATTAGGGCAGGTGGAGAGGGGTCCCGAGTGTGGGAGCTTGATACCCTGCCAGGTCTGCATTCTTTGATTGTCTGGGCTTTATCATTCACTAGGCTTTTCTCATCGTTGGGGAAGTCTTCACAGGTCTCTTGCTTGCGGTGGATAGAGCATGGGCGTTGGCTGTCTTTGTCGGAACTTTTTCAAGGACGTTTGTAGAGGGACCGATCTTGGAAGGTAGAGATAGTGTCGCCAAAGCAAAGGGTGGGTTTGCTGCCCAGTATAATAAAGATAATGACTCCTTGGGGACAAAGGTCAGGCCGGCCTGCTGACCACTCTAAAAGATTCTGGTTCCCTGAGGTTGGGGATCCTCCTTTGCAAGCTGTTTATTATTATTATTATTATTATTATTATTTTAATTATTTGTGTATATTACTTTGAAAAAAAAGAAGAAACACTTTTAATGGCAGAGGAAGGTATCAAAGTAGAAGCTCCTCATGGAGCTTCTCCCCCCCGCCACACCTGTGTGCCATGGAGAAAAGACAGTGGGGGGCTCCCGGGAACCCCAGAAGACGCAGGGCTGTTGTGCCTCCACTGGAACTGAACAGACCCGAGGCTGCCAGGGAGCGGGAGGCTGAAACCAAGCCTACTAATCCAGGGCCGGAGGTCGGCTGCTCACTCCAGGACACGCCTGCTCCTGGGGGACAAGACTGTGGCCCCCACTAAGTAGTACTTGGCCCTTAGCAGGCCCTCGTAAGTATCTGTCAAATCAATGAGGAAAAATTCATGCTGGCTTCTAGGATTGGAGACCCAGCTAAAAATTCATTTTGGCTCTCTAAAAAGGGTGTGGGTGCTGGGAAGGGAGGGCCGAGGAGGGGGTGGGAGGAGAAGTCATTGTTACTTGTGAGGGGGGGGCCATAGATGATTAACTTCTCCCTGAGCCTCAGTTTCTTCATTTATACAATGGG